TGCGGCGCCGGGGGCTGCTGCGGCGCCGGGGGCTGCTGCGGCTGCTGGAACTGCATCTGGGGTGGCGACATCTGCTGCTGCGCCGGTGGCTGTTGGAGCTGGGGTTGCATCTGCTGCTGCTGCTGCTGCTGTTGCTGTAATTGATGTGGCCCGGATGGCGGCGCCGCGCCGCCGCGGTGAGCGCCCACCTGCTGGATGATGTTGTGCGCAATCTGCGGGTTGCTCGAGCGCACAAAGCTGATGCATCGGCTCATCTGCATCTTGAGCTTGTCCAGGTCCGCCAGCCGCAGGATGCACTGCTTCTTGGGCAGCAGATCGTGCTGGTCTTTGTACATAAAGGCCATGATCTTGAGGCGCTTGGCTGGCTCAAGGTTGCCGTTCATTGCGTAAAAGGCGGGCAGCAGCGCCGTGACGGTGGCCTGGATGGGGGCCAGCTTGCGCACCTGGTCGAGGATCTGGTCGCGCTCGTCGTCGGTGATGTTGGTGATGACCGGCAGTTGGGCTGTGTCGGCGCAGGAGGAAAGGCGCGCGCAGGGTACAAAGCGGCGATGTCAGCGTGCCGTGCATTCAGGGCGGGCATCTCGGTGGACCAGCGGTGGCACTCACGTCTTTGGGTGGCCAGCTCCTGGTCAATCTTTTGCATGGCGATGCGCGCTTGCTCCAGCTGCTCTGGGCTAACGGCAATGAAGCGCGTGGGAGCGACGCCCTGCTGCCGGGGCAGCTGCTGGGGCGGCTGGCCCGCTTGACCCGCCATCGAGGGGCCCGCCTGCTGCTGCTGCTGCGGTTGCGGCTGCGGCGGCACACTTCCTTGGCCTTGCTGGGCAGATTGCGAGGGGTCACCGCCGACGGGTGGCGGAACGCCCTGCGGCTGTGGCTGCGGCTGCGGCTGGCCGGGCATCGATGCGTTGGCCTGCATCTGCGGGGTTCCAAAGGGCATCGGCGCACCGGCCTGGCCTGTCGGCGGCACCTGCTGCGGCGGCGGGGGAGCCTGCATCTGCCAAGGCTGTGGCGTCTGGACGGGCGGCTGCGGCTGCTGCTGCTGCTGAGCCTGCAACGGTTGGCCCATGGACGAAGCTTGGCCGTGGTTGGCAATGGCCTGGTGCGGCGCAAACGGCGACGCCTGGCCTGCGGCCCCAGCCGCCTTGGCCTGCTGCTGCTGCTGCTGCTGTCGCCAGTTGTTAAACTGCTGCGACAGGAACATCTTGGCAAACTGCTCCTGCGTCATGTTCATCCGAGCGAGGTTCTCCTGACTCAGGATGGGCGCTGGCTGTGGGTTGAAACCCGCCAGTGACGGCATCTGTGGTGGTCGCACCGCCTGCCCCTGCTGCGGCTGCGGTTGCTGCTGGAGCTGTTGCTGGAGCTGCTGGGCCTGCTGCATCATCGGGCTCTGCATCTGGCCGGCGCCCTGCTGCTGCTGCTGCTGCATTTGCTGCATCTGCGGTGTGACGGGCGGCCGAATCTGCTGCTGCTGCTGCTGCTGAAGCTGCTGCGGCGGCGCCTGCTGCTGCGCGTTCGGCTGTCCTGCGACCGCTTTGGCCGCTGCAGCCTTGTACGCGTCGCTCTGGTTGCCTGCCGGACCCTGTCCCTGCCCGAGGCCGGCGTTGGCCATCGACATCTGGTACTGATGATGCATGGCGCGCTGCCAGGTCTCCTCAAAGGGCGCGAGGTAGTTGCGGTACTCGGCGGCGAGAGACTGGCCAATGGCCTGCGTCTGCGGGGAGCCCAGAGGCGCCAGCTCGAGCGCGATGGCGATGGCGGGCCAGGCACCCTTCTGGTTGGCCGCCTCGCTGCCGCCGTGCGCCTGCACGATCTGGTAAAATCGGTACAGGTCGAGGTCTCGGCCTGCCACCTTGGGCAGCGCGGTGATGGGCGTGCCGCGCTTCTTCATCAGGTCGACCAGCGCGCGAGTGAACTGGTCGGGGCGCAGTGAGGGGACGCCCTGGACAGCCGGGTGCGGTCCGCCCGCCCCAGCGGGACCAGAAGCTGGGGGGCCCGACAGCTGGGGAGAGGGACGGACGTGCGGCGACTGGTGCGGCATCTGCGGCGTCACGTTCTGCTGCTGGAGCTGCTGTCCGCTGCCCTGCGCCTGGAGGATCGATGCGTTCGGCATCGGGCTGCCAAACTGGCCCTGCGGAGGGCGCACCGACGCGGGCCCGCTCGAGCCCGGGCGTGTGGGCGGCCGTATCACCGGCGAGGGCTGGGTCTGCGGCGCTCCCATCGCACCGGCGCCTCCACTGTTGTTCTGCTGTTGTTGTTGTTGCTGCTGCTGCTGCTGCTGCTGCTGCTGTTGTTGCTGCTGGACCATCTGCTGGAGCTGCTGCATCGCCATGGCCGCCATGGCCGGGTTCTGTGCATTGAGCTTGGCCAAGATGGCGCTCTGCACGCGCTTGATGTCGGCCATCTGGTTCTGCGTCTGCTTGCGCTCGTCGGGGCCGATCTCGCTGCCCAGCTTGGTCTCGAGGTCCATGATGCGCTGCTGCAGCATACGCAGGAACTGGACCGGGTTGCGCCCCTCGGCGCTCATGTCTCCCATGCCGCCCGGCGGCCGTGTCGGGGCCTGCTGCCCCTGTTGCTGCGGCATGTTCTGCATCATGCCGACACCGTTGCCCGGCTGCTGCTGCTGCGGTTGCTGCGACTGCGGCTGCTGCGGCTGCTGCTGTTGCTGTTGCTGTGGCGGTCGTTGGCTCGGCTGGCCGGGCTTCTGCGGTGTCTCGGAGCGCTGCATCTGAGGCTGCTGCTGCTGCTGCTGCTGAGCCGGAGCCTGGCCTCCATTCTGCTGCTGGGGCTGGTTACCGGGCTGCAGATAGTTGGGAGCGCCCATGGGCAGCCCGGCAGGGCGGGCCTGCTGCAAGCCGGCCATCATCTGGGCCTGGGCATGCATCTGAGGTGTCCGAGGCTGGCCGCCAGGGAAGCCTTGGCCCGCGCCGGCAAAGACGAACGGGTTCTGCTGCTGCTGCTGCTGCTGCTGCTGCTGCTGTTGCTGGTGCGGCTGGCCTGGTTGCTGCCCGGCCTGCTGCACCTGCTGCACTTGCTGTTGTGGCGACTGGTGTTGCTGCTGCTGTTGTTGCTGCTGCGACGGCGGAGGCCTCACGCCTTGTTGCTGCGCCTGTTGCGCCTGTTGGAGCTGCTGTTGCCTAGCAATCGTTTGCCTCAGCTGCGAGAGAGAGGACGGATCAAGGTCGAAAAGGGTCAGTGCATCGGCCGACAGGGCGGGTCGGTCGCGGATCGACTCTTTCGCGCCACGATGCGCCGCATAGACTCACAGCGTTGAGCTGGGTGGGGTTGAGCAGACCCTTCTTGGCCTGTTCGATGGCCATTGAGATCTGCGCCAGGGTCGGCATGCCCGGCATTGGTTGCTGCGGCTGACCCATCGGAGCCTGCGTCATCTGTGGGGCTTGCTGCTGCTGCTGCTGTTGCGGCTGCTGCTGAGGCTGCATCTGCTGCTGCTGCTGTGGCGGCTGCATCATTTGCTGTGGTGGCCTGAATGCCTGACCAGCGGCGGCGGCGGCGGCGGCGGCATTCTGCTGCGGCTGTTGCTGTTGCTGTTGTTGTTGTTGTTGTTGCTGCTGCTGCTGCTGCTGCTGTGCGAGCAAAGCCTGCAATTGCTGCTGACTGAATCCGGCTGGGAAGCCACCGCTCTGCTGGGGCTGCGGCTGCTGAAAGGGATTGCGCTGCATCTGCGAGGGCTGACCCATCGCCTGGCCCGGGTGTTGTTGCTGTTGCTGCTGCTGTTGTTGCTGTTGCTGCAAGAGCTGCTGCTGCTGTTGGTGCTGCTGGCGGAGGATTGCCAGCTGCTGCGGCGTGAGATTGTTCAGGTTGAACATCATGCCGCCATTGTTTTGGGAGGGGTCGAAGCCGGACATGGTGGCAAGGGCGAGGGGTCGTCGAGACGGCACCGATCGAGGCCAGACTGGAGCGCAGCGCGCCCTCGAGCGTAGAGCCTAGAGGGCAGTGCGACCCTGGACAGTGGGCTCGAACAGCAAGGGCTACGGAAGTGCGCCAGACGAAGCGGCGATGCCCAAGGGTGCCGATCGGGTCGCGGCCCCGCGGAACTTGCACGGAGCGAGCAGCCGGGCCGCGGGCGCACCGACAGCGGTGGATGCCTGGTGGCAGAAGCTTGCGATCGGACTTGGAGCCCTTGCCCGCCGAGGTCGGCGGCAGCGGCGCGTAGGTCGGCGTCGAGGTAGACTTTCGCGCGTCTCTGTGAGACCGGCAGAGGAGGTCGAGGGCCTCGCCCTGTTTGCGGCGGTTGATCCAGGACTGCCACGCAGCTACCGGCTCTCAAGGCGCGATGCGAGCGCGGACGAGGGCGGAGCGGGTCGCGGCGTCAAGGCCGAATCAGAGCGCCGATCCGGGGCGGGAAAGAAGGGGCCGGAAGTGCGATGGTAACTGGTGCACCGACGAGGGGAGGATGATCAGAGGGTCAAGATGGGTTGCCGATCTAGCGGAGAAAGGTTGGCTAGGTGGGCGGTCGATGTGAAGCGATGCGATGCGACGCAGCGCAACGCAAAGAGGCAGAACCCTGATGACGGATCGAGATGGGGAGCGGCCAGTTGTGTAGGCTGCGCCGAGTGTTGCTGCGCGTGGACCCGAGGAAGGGCGCCGGAGGGATGGATAGACAGGGAGGTGGGCGGGCGAGCAGGCGAGCGTAGGCAAGGCTGTGGATGAATCTGCTCGGCGTGAATGGTGGGATGGTCCGCGCCTTGGCGGGGCGTCGAGAGACGAGCCGAGGACGACGTGTCTATGACGGATGCCGAAGGGGTCGGGATGAGGACGACGATGTCGGGGATGGAGCCGGGAGTCGGGAAGGAACGGGGCGATCGATGCCAGCGGTAGAAAACGAGGCGCAGAACCGGGCTCGAGCCGGGACAGGGAACCGACGGTCGAGGGTCAGGAGACGAGGGGATGGAGCAAGACTTGAGCAGTCGGGGCCACGGAGCAGACACGGTAGAGGATGTCTGCGCGCGTATGTGCGTGTGTAGGTGTGTGTGTGTGTGTGTGTGTGTGTGCGAGGGGCGTCTGTGCCGTCGTCGTCGAGGCTGTCTTGGTCGAAGGAGGTCGAGGCACGGTGCAGGCCAGGGACCGGGATGAGGGTGGTGAAGGTGGTGGTGGTGGCGGCGGCGGTGGGGACGCGTGCGGCGTTGTGGTGGTTGCAATCCCGCCGAGTATTCGTCGTCGTCGTCGTCGTTGCGGTGGCGGTGGTGGAGGTGGACGAGGGGGGCGACGGCGACGGCAGCAGCAGCGTTGGGGAAAGGCCAAGGGGCGAGGGAGCGGCCAGTCGAGAGGGCGTGCGAAACCAAGGCAGGAAACTAAGGCGGATGGGCGGCGGAGGCGGACAGGCGCACAGGCGCACAGGCGAGCGAGGGCAGCGCAGCTGGCCAGGGCCAGGGCCAGGCCCACCAAGCAGGAGCAGCAGCAGCAGCAGCAGCAGCAGCAGCTGGGCAGCGTGCAGCCAGCCAGCCTCGGTCGGCGTCAGCGAGACACGGGCGCCCGGCAGCGGAGCGGGCCAGGCCAGGCCAGGCCCAGGGTCAAGGGACACGGACACCGACACGGCGGGCCCCCCCCCCCCTTCGCCCCTCGCTCGCCCAGGCCAAGTCGAGTCCAGTGCACAGAGGGTCCCTGCCTGCCGCCCTCTGCTCGAAGCGAAGTTTTTTGAGTTTTGTATTGCGGCCCACCGTCGTCGCTGTAGTATCAAGATTGGCAGGCCATCGTCCTACTCGCAATCATCTGGCCTGGCCGCCATCCTACCTGCTCACCAACCGCAGGAAGGGGCGCTTCCATACGGCACGGCACGGCAAGAGGCGGGCCAGAGAGCTAAACCGAACCAAGTCGACCTCGAGAGCAAGCAGGGCCACTCCACCGCCTGGCCTCGGCCTGCGCACGTCGTCGAGCTCATGAGAGACGGAGAGTGGCAGAGAGAGAGAGATGGAAGCGGCGAGCGAGCGAGTGTGACCGTCGCGCAGCTGCCCGCCACCCTGACCGCCTCGCTGTGCGGCCAGGCCAGGCCCGCCGCCACGCACGTCTCTTTGCACCCGGCCGTCTTGAAAGATGAGGTAGAGCGGCTGCGACGATCACGACGCCGGCTGCGTCCTTCTCTCCTCTCTGTCTCGACGCCGTTCCCAACTCAGGCCCTGGCCCTGGCCTCGTACCTACCCTACCAGCCCCAGCAGGCGCGCCAACAGCCGCGCGTTGCCCGCCACCACCGGGACAGGGAAAAAAGTCAACAGCCGAACGGCCAGGCCAGGCCCAGCCCGAGTCGGATAGCGCGTCTGGACCGCTGGCGACGATATCCGGACCGGGCTCGCCGCAGCCGTCACCGTCGCTCGGAGGCCTACCTGCCCTCTTGCCGAGCCCACCTTCGGTTGCTGCCGCAATGGCTCAGCCTGCCACCCATCGTCGACCTTGGCAAGTGGGCCGGCCCTCTGAGCTCTCGATGACTACCAGGTCGCCACACTCTGCCTTCGAGGAGCGGCCCTGCTTTCCGTCCGATGCCTCACGCGCTGCCTGGCCGGGCCTGGCCAAGGCAGGGCGAGATGCCCTGTCACACTTGATGTTGTTGTGCGCCGCTGCCATCATGAACACGGCTGGGCTGGAGTAGACGATCGAGGGCCGCGGGCAAACGTGGAGAAGATGTCCTGCCCGTGCGCCTCTTGGATCCAGCCAGAGATGGGAATTTGGCGCCACACTTTGCCGCCTTCGAGCTGACTGGCAGGCCAGGTGGCAGGCGGGCAGGTAGAACCACCTGGCGCTGGACGCCGACACGAGGAGCGAGCGAGCTGAGCTTGCCTCGCTGTATGTGTTCTGTCTGCTTGACACGAGGGAGGCCGTCCACGCGCGTCACGGCGCGACAGGTTGGTGCCGTGGGCCGTCGCTTGTCTGGTCTGGCCCCGCGCGCTGAGCCTGCAGAGGTGCGGACAGTAGTGTTGAGCGCGAGAGAGGGTGGCAGCCAAACGCCGGCCGGACAGCCCCTGCCGGAAGGGGGCGGCTCTCTTCAGGTCGGCGGTCCGTCTCCATGGGAGGTGATGGTGAAAGAAGCAAAAAGGAGCGAGAGAGAGAGAGAGGGAGACGTGGGACGAGGTGTCACCCCCCGACGCCACCGCCCGTCGTGTGTGCGCGGGTGCGGGTAGACAGGCTGGCGTGGCGGGCCCCAGACGGCCTGGCTGGCTTCCCGCCGCCTCCCGTGGCCCCGCCCCGCCTGCCTTGGACCTCGCCTGGCCTTGCCTCGCCTCGCCTGGCCTGGCCTGGCCGTCGAGGGGATGCACATGCTCTTGCAGCCAGCGGCATCCTACCTGGCCAGGAACACGCCTACGCGCACGCACGCAGGGACTCGGGACCAAGTCAGGCCTGGCCTACCCTACCCTGCGCCGACAGGCCTCCGCCCTTCTGGCCTTTGCCGAACGACGAAGCAGCTCAAAAAGATTCTTGCTTGCCTGGTTCGACGGCAGCGCAGACGCCCCGCTGCTGGCTCTCACGCAGCCCCGCGCGCCACCGGCCGCGTTGTGGGGGTTGGCCACCGGCCACGCTATCGCCCACACAAAGGCGGGCAGCACGACCAAGCCAGCAGGCTAGGCTTTGGATCGCTTCGACTCAGCTGGCCTGGCACATCGTCGTCGTCGTCGATAGGGCCGGCAAGCGAGCAAACCAGCCATCGACGGGCGGCAAAGAGGGCGTACAGAGAGAGACCCTTTGATGCGCCGGACACAGGGACAGAGAGTAGAGTGTGAGAGAGTCGTCGTAGTGTTGCAGCCCAAACGCACGAGGCACAGCGGCCAACTCGACGAGCATGTATGTAACTCCATACCTAACTTACCTGCTTTCTCTTCTGCCTAGGCCTGCTGGCCTGGTCCACCGGATGCGCACCTAGCCTGCCCTACCGACCGGCCCACTTTGCACCACCATCGCCACCATCACCGAACCGCCATCGTACCGCCATCGCACCGGCACCGCACCGGCACCGCACCGCATCGCACCCGCCACCAGCGTCTAACCTGGCCCTAGCTTTGAGCCTGCTTCATTATTTCGCCCACCTCGCCCAAAGGCCACGGCAACCCCAAGGCGGCGTACGGTAGCTAACGCTAGCGCTGGCCGCCCCGCGCGCCCCCACCTCCGACTCGATCTCGGCTTGGTTGTCCGTGGCTCGTCGAGGCTCCGAGCCTCTATCTCTGCCTCTCTCTCGTCTTCCCTCGACCGACCCCGACCCAGCAGCTGCTCATCCTCCCCCTCCCCCTCCTCCTCCTCCTCCGTCGCCTCAACAGGCACGCCGCGCTATAAGACGGCTGCCGTGCACCCACCCGACGCCATCGCCCAGTGCTGCTCCTCGCTCTGCCGCGCCAACGTTGACCCTACCGCTCATCACTGCCTCCTCCCACACCTTCGGACATCGCCACACGCTGCCGCCCTTTCACGACCTCCGCTCGCCATCGTCCGCCATGCCGTCCGACGCCAGCGCCCTCTCCTTCTACCACACCTGCCCGCCCGGTCTGGCGCCCTCCAACACCACCACCAAGCTCTGCGACGCCGCCACCTGCGGGTCCATCTACCAGCCCCCCGACGGCCGACCCCGCAAGCCTTCGGGCGACGCCCAGTGCGCCTGCGACCCAGGCTTCACCGGCGTCAACTGCAACGTCTGCTCCGGCGCCGGGTCGTGCTCCGCTCGCCGCGGCACCGCTTCGCCGTCTTCGCCGTCGGGCGCGCTCACCCTGACCGGCGACTCGAGCGTCGTCTGCTACAACCAGCCCGATGCCGTCCGCACCACTTTCATCGACTGCGACGTCGTGCAGCCCACGATCCAGGCCGTCTTTCCCAAGCCCATGACCATGGCCATGACAAAGGTCGGCGCCACCCCCGACGACTTTGCCGCCACGGGCGTCGCGCCCTGGCCCCAGATGCCCAACACGACGCTGGCAAGCGTCTTTTATGACGGCGTCGAGCAGTTCTACTGCCAGGCCAGCAACTGCGCCTCGCGCAACTCGACCCAGAGCGCCGCGCTGGGCAAGAGCCGCTTCGGCACCACCTCGACCCAGTGCGACAACCTCCAGTGCTACTGCATCCCCGGCACCGTCATGTGCGGCGGCGGCGCCCTCGACCTCACGCCCATCATCAACGGCCTCAGCGGCGCGCTCGGGATGCCGTGCGATTTCATCGACCCAAAGGCGCCCGAGGGGACCACGGCCGACTGCGCCTTCCAGGGCAACCTGCTCAACAACCTCCTCGGCGACGGTGGCCTGCCCCTCAAGCAGTGCAGGTTCGGCAGCTGCGTCACCGAGGGACAGATCCACGCCCACTGGCGCGACCAGGCGCTCGCGGGCGGAGAGACGGGCAACGGCGACCGCCTCAGCGGTCCCCTCATCGGCGGCCTCGCCGTCCTCGGCGTCTTTGTGGCGTCGCTGCTGGCACTCGTCGCTTTCGGCGTGTGGCGCAGGCGCGAGGCCGCCAGGAGACCCGCCCGCCTCGATCCGGCGCCCGTCGGGCTCGTCTGGAAGCGCATCGACTACGGCCTGGCGCCACGCAACCGCCTGGGCATCCGACGCAGAGGCGGGCCCGTTGGCAGCAGCCGCCTCGTAGACGGCAGCAGCACCAAACCCCTCCGAAGCAGCGGCGACAGCCGCAACGAGAAGGCGCCAATCTCGCCCGCGTACGATGCCGACCACCGTCACCAACTGGCGCACCCCACGCTGCATTTTGACGACCCAGAGGCCGGCCACGGCTCCGATCACATCCTGCACTCGGTCAGCGGCCGCGTCGAGCCCGGCCAGATGCTCGCCCTCCTCGGTCCCTCGGGCGCGGGCAAGTCGTCGCTCGTCGACATCCTCGCCGGCCGGTCCAAGTCTGGTCGCGTTGCGGGCGAGGTGGCCTTCCTGCGCGCCGCCGACGGCGCGGGCGCGAGACCGGGCACCGGCACCGGCAACGGCTCGACGCGCGCCATCGCCTTTGTCGACCAGGACGATGCCCTGCCGGCCTTTTCGACGGTGCGCGAGGCCCTGCGCATGGCGGCCGACCTGTCGCTGCCGGAGAGCGTGTCGGACAAGTCGGGTTTGGTCGAGGAGGTCATCGACCTGCTCGGCCTGACGTTGGTGGCCGACCGCCGCATCGGCGACCACAGCCGGCGCGGCGTGTCCGGCGGCGAGCGCCGTCGCGTGTCGATCGGCTGCGCGCTCGTTGCGCGCCCGCGCATCCTCGTGGCCGACGAGCCGCTGTCGGGCCTCGACTCCTTTTCTGCGAGCCGGGTGGTGGCGGCGTTCCGCAACCTGGCGCGCGGCGCCGGCGAGCTCGGCTCGACGTCGGTCATCATGACGGTGCACCAGCCGTCCTCGGAGATCTTCCACACCTTTGACGTCGTCATGCTCATGGCGGCCGGGCGGGTGCTCTACACGGGCCCGCCATCCGAGAGCCTGGCGTGGTGCGAGGCGCAGGGCGAGCCGTGTCCGACGGGCCACAACGTTGCCGACCACCTGCTCAAGATTGCCTTTAATCCCGAGCAGCGGACGCGGCGCGTGTCGGAGCCGTCGTACCAGGACAGCCGCTCCGATCCTTCGTCGTCTTCCGCTCCGCCGTCGTCGTCGTCGTCGTCGTCGTCGTCGTCGCCGGGCGTGGCTGCGGGCGCGGCGTGGGCGCGCGAGGCGGGCAACGAGCCGTGCACGACGTTCATGACGCAGCTCTCGACGCTGTCGCGGCGGGCGTGGCAGACGGCGCTGCGCGACCGCGCGGGCCCGCTGGCGCACCTCGTGGGCGCGGTGACCATCGGGCTGCTGGTGGGCGGCTGCTTCTACCAGGTCGACCTGACGATCGCCGGCTTCCAGAACCGCGTCGGGTCGATGTACTTTCTCTTTATCCTGCTCTGCTTTGCGGCGCTGTCGGCCTCGACGACGCTGGCGCGCAGCCGCGCGCTGATGGTGCGCGAGCGGAGCAACGGGCTGTACGGCGCCGTGGCGTGGCTCGTCAGCTTTGTCCTGTTCGACGCCGTGCTGCTCCGCCTCATCCCCACGTTGCTCTTCACCACCATCCTCTACTGGATGGTCGGGCTCAAGGCCGATGCGGTGACATTTTTCGAGTTTGTCCTCATCGCCTTTTTGCTGCACGAGTCGGTCGCGCTGGTCGACATGATCCTGTCGGCCTTGATCGAGGATCTTTCCGTCACCATCCTCATGGCGGGGAGCTTTATCCTCTTCAACATCGGCTATGGAGGATTTCTGCTCAACCTCGATCAGATCCCGGCCGTACTGAGGTGGCTGCAGTGGCTCTCGCCGCTCAAGTACGCCCTCGAAGCTGTATCGGTGCACGAACTAAAGGGCCTCGATCTCAAGGATACCGTAGCGGGCGTCGGCATCCAGACCTCGGTCTCGGTGTTTGCCGGCAACCTCTTTGGATTCAGGGATGGAGCCTTCTACCGCGACCTCCTCATCCTGGCGCTCCCGTTCAACCTCGGCGTCTTTGGCCTTCTCTGCCTCGTCGTCTGGTCGAGGATGCGAGAGACGCGCTAGTCGCGAGTCCGACTAGGATCCGTTCCGTCCCCTGCCGCGCGGCCGCCACGCCCTCCGTCGACTCCTTCCCCTGCTACCCCTCCTCCTCCTCCTTCGTGTCTATCCTTGTTTTACTCGCTGCCAAGTCTTAGAATACATACACTCATTCGCCCCGTCCTTGACCACTGACGGACCGAGGCGGAGGCAGAGGACAGAGGAAGCAACCGGCGACGTTGGCGATGGTCGAGGATGACGAGGGAGAGGAGAGGGGGGGCCTGATCGGCTCGGCTCGGGGCTCTACCACGACGAAAAGTCGCCAAAGCCGCCACCGCCACCGCCCTTTTTCGCCTTGGCCTTGTCGACGATACCGCTGCCGACCTCGAATGGTTGCCCCTTTGGCGCCGCCACCGCCGCTGGAGCACCGGATGTCGGTCTCGACGACAACGACGACGTGGCGAGGTACTTGCCTACTCCTCCTCCTCCGATGCCGTTGCCGTTGCCGCGGGCCGCCGCCGCCGCCGACGACGACGACGACGACGACGTGCCACCGCCCTTGGGTGCGAGCTCGGTGCCGAGCCACGTGGTGCGGTCCTCGTCCCTCCTCCTCCTCTTCTCCTCCCTCCTGACCGCCTCGACGCTGGTGGGATCCTCGCGCTTGAGCCTGCGCTCGAGCTGCGCCTTGTACTTTTCAAACGGGTCCTCGGTGATGGTCGTCTCGAGGATCCGGATCGTGCGCAGCGGCCGGTCGGTGCCCTTCTGCGTGGGGACCGACTCGAGCGCGTCGAGCGTCTTGTCCCCCTCGCCGTCGACCAGGCGCCCAAACACGGTGTGCTTGCGATCCAGGTGCGGCGTGGCGCGGTAGGTGAGGAAAAACTGCGAGCTATTCGTCCCCGGACCCCGGTTGGCCATCGAGAGCGTGCCGCGCGACGTGTGCTTGAGCGCCGACGGATAGTCGTACTCGTCGCCGAAATCGCGGCCCCAGATCGAGCTGCCCCCGCTGCCCGTGCCCGTCGGGTCGCCGCCCTGGATCATGAAGCCGGGGATGTTGCGGTGGAAGGCCGTGTCGTCGTACTTGCCGCGCCGGCACAGCTCGAGGAAGTTGTAGCACGTCTTGGGCGCGCGGTCGCAGTGCAGCTCGAGGTTGAGCGGCCCAAAGTTGGTGTGCAGCCGCACGTAGGCCTTGTCGGCGCGCGACTTGCGCTGCCGGAACTGCTCAAACATGTGCTCCTCCTCGTCGACGACGATGCGCTCGGTGCGCGTGCGCGGCGTCAGCGCCGTGCTGGTGAAGCTCGCCGCCGTCATGCCCGTCGAGGCCGACGTGGCGTTGTACGGCTGCTTGCCCTTGGTGCGCGACAGCGCCGTGTCGCCCGTCGTCGTCGGTGGTGCTGTTGTCGATTGTGGTAGCGATGATGCTGCGGCGGGGGCCGTGGCGGACTTGGCTTTCGGCGCCGACGACGACGACGACGTCGACGCGTCTGCCTCCTTGTTCTTCTGCGCTCGCAACTTGGCGAGGAGGGCGCCGGCGCTGCCCGTGGCGGCGAGGTTGACCTCCTCGGTGGTGTCGATGCCGCGGTCGGCCTCGGTGACGACGAGGTTCTTTTTGACGTGGTGGAGCTTGCTGACGTCCTTTTGCTCTGCGTTGTGCGGGTCCTGGAGGGTGATGATGTCGGCCTTTGTAAAAGGCTGGTCGGTGAGGAGGTCGCGCATGAACTTGGCCTTGAGGTTGAGCTGCTGGACCGTGTCGTGGCTAAAGACGTTGCCCGAGGGGGCGAGGGCGACGATGTGGGTGTGCTCGCCGTACTCCTTGTACGAGACGGGGTCGTGGTAGCGCCCGCGCTCGTTCTTTGCAAAGTGGAGCGTGACGAGGTGGTCGAGGTCGAGGGGCTGGCCGGTGGCCGGGTTGACGCGGTACTTTTTGATAAAGGGGATGACGTTGGTCAGTTCAAAGACGGTGCCGTCGTCCTTTGAGCATACGGGGTTGGACCAGGGCTGCAGGCTGATGGCGCAGCAGTCAAAGGGGAGGGGCTGATAGTTGTCGCCCTCTTGCTTTTGGTGCTTGCCGGTGGATGCGCCATGCTGGCCGTAGATGCCGGACTGTCAGGTGGGAGAGGAGGATAGCAGGCGGCGGAGTCGGCGGTGGTGGTTGCAGTGGTGAAGAGGAGGGGCAGCGGGGTCAGCCATGGCCGTCACGGGTCGCTGTGGGATGGTGCAGTGGCGGTGAAGGTGGTGCTGGCGGATGTGGCGACTGCGAGTGTATGTACGTTTGGACGCAGAGTCAGGACGTGGAAGCAGGGGGGCCGGCAGCGAGGGTGAAGGCGAGGACCAGGGGGGGGCGACTTACGTGTTCTGCCTGGGTGACGTAGAGGCGGTCCGACTTTCCGTGGCCCATGGTGGGAGGCGGGTATGGCGGGCAATGAGGATGGCAGTTGCGATGGTGGTGGCAGTGGCGGTGGCGGCGACGGCGACGGCGACGGCGATGGCGGGTCGTAGAGTGGCGTGGTGGTGGTGGTGGGTCTAGCAAAGGCGAGGCAAGCAAACAGGGGCCGACGGACGGCGCTGAGGGCCCCTCTCTGCCGTTCGGCCGTTGCAACTCGATCCGAGCCATGGAGGCTTCCGCCCTCCCACCCTTCACCACCACCACCACCACCACCATCGCCTTTTCCCCTCTCTCCTCAACATTTCTCCATCGGACACTCTTTTTTTGGACTGCGACCAGCCTGCAATCACATACACCGCCCTTCTTCGCCCCACGCTCGCTCCGCCGCGTCAGCAGCAGCAGCAGCGCCGCAGCACCATCGCCTCCGCCAGGGGCTAATCAGCCAACGCCGAGTGGATGCTACCGCTCCTGCGCACGGCCATCCCAACCTCTTCTCCTTCCTCTTCCTCGATCCGCAACCAACAAACTGACGCCGCCCACGACAGCACCAACAAAATCGCCGCCAGCATCGACAAGGGCAAGGCCAGAGCACGCGACCCTTCGCTAGATTCGCCCTCACACTTAGAGCTAGATCATCCCGACTCGATCCCCCTCCGTCCCCTCGTCGGCCGCACCCGGCCCACGCCCAGACACCCCCACTCCTACCCCCACCCCGGCCGCCACTCGCCCACCATGAAGTTCTCGCATAGCCTCCAGTTCAACAGCGTCCCGGACTGGGCGGACAAGTACGTCGCCTACTCGAACCTCAAAAAGAGCATCTACCTCCTCGAGCGCGACCTCCCCATGCTCCCCTCGGACAACGCCAACGCGGACGACGTCGAAAACGAGTCGGCAAACCTCCTCCAGCAGGCCGCACAGAGCGACACCGACCGCCACTTTGTGCCCCTGCTCGACAAGGAGCTCCAGAAGATTGTCGCCTTCTTCAACGAAAAGCACGCAGAGATGCAGGCCGACCTCGGCGCCCTCGAGCGCGACCTCGAACGCACCGAAAACGAGGAGATCGACGACGACAGCGACCAGCCTTTCAGCGACGACGACGACGACGACGACGACGCCCTCGTCGACACGGTGCGCACCGGCAAGGCCAGCACCGGCCGCCGCAACAGCATCGACCAGCTCTTCAACGACCCGCACCGCTACAACCGCGCCACCCGCGAGGAGCAGCGCCTCCGCGGCTGGGGCAGGTCCAGCACCGACGACGCCGCGGCGCGCTCGCGCAAGGACAGCCAGCTCACCGACCACAGCGCCTCGTCGCGCCGCCCCTCGGTGGGCCG